ATGCTGAGTCCTTGTCTGCCTTACAGATAGCTTATGTACTCCATTTCAGTGGTATTAACCAATATAGCGGAACAGATTTATGCCAGAGAAATCTTCTAAATAAACATCTATCAACTGTGAAGAAATCAACCACAGATGCCATTATCTTGTTCATATATTTTTATTTTATTTTAGAGGCACACAAATGGACGAGCAAAACAAGTGGAATTTTGTCAAGACAAAACACTCTCCCACTTATGGAAGCAGGCCTCATGGCTGGTTGCAGGTTTTGTCTCTAATTCTTATCACAAATAGAAAAAGGATATGAAAGGGTAGGGATGTCAATGGGGCGGTGCGGGTGCGGGGCGGTGCGGGTTTAGACACATGCGGGGAGGTGTGGGTTTTAACATATGCGGTTGCGGGGCGGGTCAAAATAAAAACATTTAAAAGTTATGCGGGTGCGGTGCGGGTTTAAAAAGGGTATGTGGGTTTAAGTACAGCTATATATTTACTGATATTTGTTCTGCTCTTTTTGCAAGTGACCCTTCAACTTTTTTACTCTTGCATTCTATAGTCCCTTTTGTTGTTTGTCTTACGGCAGTTGTGTTTTTACATGAAATTGCGCCTTCGTCCCCAATAGCTGTTTTTGGTGAAATATTTTGGTGTTATTAATGTTGTTGCTGTTTTTATAGCGGTTTATTTGTTAGCTTTTGACATTTCAGGGCCTTATGGTATTGTTTTTTTGCAAATATTTGTTGTTATTCTTCTAATCCTATTAGCATCGTCTATTTTCATTCCTCTGTATATAATGGTCAAGAATTTTATCTGTTCGAATTTGGAAATTTAGTATTTCTAACGAAAATATCTATTAATTGATCTTCACAAAGATTTTTTGTATTTCTAACGAAAATATCTATTAATTGATCTTCACAAAGATTTTTTGTATTTCTAACGAAAGCTTGAATAGGGTAAATTAACATATATACTTTTAACAAATATAAAAAGTTAAAAAACAAAGAGGTATTATGATATCAAAGATTTTTGTTAAGTAACTTTTATTGCATATGTGCAAGATTTAATTCTCTTAAGTATCTTATCTTCTTCTTTCCATAACTGAAGTTTTCCGTAATCTTTAGAATTAATAAAAAGCACAAGTACATATAGTAAAGGTGTAAAAAAAATTCCAGCCAAAAGATTAAAAAAAATAATTAAAACTAACAAAATGAAAAAAAAAATCACTTATGCAGGGCGGGTGAACGCGGGTGCAACTGCTATGCGGGGCGGGGCAGGGCGGGTTGAAATTTTGCGGGTTAAGAGAAAACCCGCCCCACACCCGCACCGCTTGCCATCCCTATAAAAGGGTCAAATGACCAGAAAACAGAAGAACAGGGAAATTGCATATGAGAAAGCAAACACAATAAAATCACTGGACTTGAGTTCCAAGTTGGTCTAACACTTCACAAAGTGTTTCTATGAAAGGAATGGATGAGGAAAGTGCACTTAAGAAATCTTGAGAAGTAAAAATCACTGCCGTAGAATTCCAGAAATGCACCCACTATAAAAGCATGATGTAAATTCTCAATTGTTTTTAAGAAGTGGAGAAGAAAAAGGAGCATAGAACAGGGCAAAGTCGAATAGAACTCACATCATCTGCAGATATCCTGATTTGCAGCTTGTCTTTGCAATCCGGGCACTTCATCACCCCCTGCAGAATAAGTAGTATTATCAGCAACACCAATTGCTTAAGTTTCAAAAAGAACATTTTTCACTTAAGACCAGGCAGAGGTGAATATGAAAGATCACTGTGAAGCATAGGCATAAATGAAAACAGTGTATCCAAGAACGAAATACAATTCTTAACTAAAAACATACTAGATGAAATAGGAGCATAATGCATCCTATAATTTGCACTCTCTTTAACCAGGTAACTGAATAATAGGATAAGCTCCCAGCCAACTCAAGTGTGCTTAAGTTTCATCCAGCATATTTGAGGTGATATTAAAGCTCAAATCAGGTTACTGATAAATGTGTAGCTCTAGGCAATCTTAAAATTCTCTCCTAAGCTAGGGCTTAAGGTTCTTGAGCAGGATTCAAACCTATTTACCTAATATTGTACTTAGGCACTTAAAGTCATCTTGGAAGTCCATACACCTAACTAACATACATTAACTTTTACCTAGTAAAGGCATGGCAAAATACAGTTAAAATCAAACGAAAATACATTTACACGTCCACATAACATAACTCACGTGAGCTAAGCCGCTATCCGGTCAGGCTTGGCTTTACTTATTCAATAAGCCCTATTTTTAAAATTGGGTTGCTGTCGTGAATAAACCCTATTCTATTACCCTACATTTAGGATACTTTCTCAAGCCAAAAACTTGCTGGCATGACTCACTCAGTTCATTTGCAGCAATTAAGAAGCTTGCTATTTTATGAGAGCTCGAGAAGTTACAGTTCTCACCGATCCATCACAATTTGGACATTCTTTAGATGGCAGCGGCAAGTGAAGGTCAACCGTGGAAGGAAGATGCACCAACTCAGCTCTGTTATCAGCTATGGCATCTGCAATGGATTCTGCTGTTGCCTTCTCTCCCCTGCAGAGTAGTTTGGAACCTTTAGATAGACATAAGTACTCAGTGCGTTTGACACTTTCTTCCTGTATTTCCAGGTAGAGGGTGGAATTGCACAACTAAGATGATAAATAACCACTTAAAACAAGAAGGCAGAGTTCAGTACACAACATAACAATGGTGATGCAGCTAGCTACCAACTGCAAGTAACTAGCTGCGTCATTGCCAAATCCAAGATAACAAAAGCTGAAGACTAGAATTATCAAAAAAAAAGTCACATAGGACAGTGGCAGGGGAAAATAAGGGGAAGATAGCAGATTGGCGTATCTTCTATGCAGTTTAGAATATGATAAAGGCCATTGCAATAATATTCAAAAAATTAGATTAACTATATTATTTGAACAGGAATTTTTTTTAACAGAAAAAGTAAAATCCGTCAATGATAACCTACCTTTTCAATGTATAGTTTTTCACTTGATAATGCACCTTGCCTGACCCTTTGCACATTGTGCATCGCAATGCCTGCCATCCGTTACATGTCCGACAGTCCCTGCAATTAATGAACCAAGCATCTTCTTTTAACTACACATACCATCACCTTCTATAACAAGACATGCCAAACGATTTTACATTTGACAAGCATCTCGGCTGCCCATCAGTAGGGAAAAATAAGATGCTCTCTGGCTTTTCGCTTGATTCGTGATTACAACATCAGCTTTTGCATAAAGACATAGAGACCACTAATGAGCAAAGAGAACAAATGTTTTATATCTATCAAACTCTTAGTCCAGTGGAAATTAAAACCAATGTTGTCAAAGGCGAAAAGCTCTAAAAAGCGCTCCAGGTCTAATGGGGTTTTAAGCGCAAAGCGCAATTAAAGTGTGAACTTGATTTAAAAAAATATGCAATGAAGGATAAATATAAAAATATATATGTAATTCAACAAAAAAAGTAACAAATTCATTCATAATGTTCCCTTAACAACTAATACACTTCTTTGCTGATTATATTTATTGTTTAGTACCAGTTAATTCAAGATAGAAATCATTGGAAATGATGCTCACACCTTAGTGCCCTGCCTACACTAAAGTGCAGCTTAAGCGAGGCGAAGCGCCTTCTCTGAGCTTCAGGGCTTAAGCGCGCCCTAAATGAGCCTTTGACAGCACTTTTAAAACATGGATTCACTTACCAAGACTGAAAAAATCTGAGCATCCAGAACAAAACCTTAAGACAATGGATGGAGTGGTCCAAGAGTATAAACCCTTTCATGACCTCTACAGACAACACCTTTTGACATGGCCCATTAATTAACTTCATTATTTCACATAAAAAAAAACATACTTCACATTCAGAAATATAATATCTAACAAAAAGTAGCATGAGCTGAGACTATGAGGAGGGCACCTCTGGCAGAGCACCTTCTTTCCTAGCTCCATCGCAATATCATAAGTACCCACAGTAGCCACCACCTGCAATAAATCAACCAAATATCTCTGTGAGCAAAAAACTTATCCAACTAACACTTTCAGCCCAAAAATCCTATTAATTGCGGTCCATGGCGTCTCTGTGATATATTAACATACACTTGAAGACCCAGTTCAGAAAAAGATCAAAATCACACTTTCCCATTCACGGGCATCTCTGAATATGCTAACAATTCAAACTTTCCGATTCATGGCTTCTCAGTGACATATAAACAAACATTTAACGACCCAATTCAGAAAAAAATTGCTGACAACTAGACTTTCACATTAACGGCCTCTCAGTGACATATAAACAAACAGTTAATGACCCAATTCAGAAAAAAATGCTGACAATTATAGTTCCCTATTGTGGCCTCTCAGTGACATACGAACATAAATTTGAGAACACAGTTCAGGGAATTCTAACAATTTAAACTTTCCAATTCATGGTCTCAGTGGCATTTTAACAAACATACGACCCAATTATAAAAAAAATGCTTACAAAGATGGCAGAATAAGAGAGCTTAGAGATGAACTCGGGTACACCGAAACCCCTAGGGGCGGAGCCAGCAATGTCATAAGCAAGAGTGAAAGGGGAGAGAACGAGTTTTATAGGGAATTCGAAGATGTCGATGAGTTGCTGTCCATAGCGGTTAGTGAAGTGCTTGTACTGAAGGTCTGTGAATTGTTTCAAATTCTTCAGTAGCTTATCAGTCCCTCGCGACATTGTGAACGAGAAGTAGAGAGGGGGATAGCCGTATTTTGTCTTGCTTTATCTGCTCCTTTTTTTTTCTTTTTTCTTTTCTTCTCTTTTGCAGGGAGGGTGTTTTTTTTTTTTTTTGGGTTTAGAGACGCTTAATGTATATAAGTTGTGTATAAGTTGTGGTAATCTGGTGTCCTAAGGGATAAGAATGGAGTGGATATACTGGTAGATAGCCATCTTAGGGAGTCCGTGGTAGAGGTCAGGCGGGTGAATGATAGGCTAATGACTATTAAGTTGGTGGTGGGTGAGGGTACTTTGAATGTCGTTAGCGCGTACGCACCACAAGCAGGCTTGGATGAGGATATTAAAAGGCAATTTTGGGAGGGGTTGGATGAGATTGTTCGTAGTATACCGCCTTCTGAGAGGTTATTCATAGGAGGAGATTTCAATGGTCATATTGGGTTATCTGCAGGTGGGTACACTGAGGTGCATGGCGGATTTGGTTTCGGAGAGCGGAACGGAGGGGGCATTGCGCTGTTGGACTTTGCCAAGGCTTTCGATCTAGTCATTGCAAACTCGAGTTTTATGAAGCGGGATGAACATTTGGTTACTTACCAAAGTTCGGTGGCGAAGACTCAGATTGACTATCTCCTCCTCAGGAGATGCGACAGAAGGTTGTGCGAGGACTGCAAGGTTATCCCAGGTGAGACCCTCTCAACGCAGCATAGGCTTTTGGTGATGGACATTTGTATTAGGATAAGGAGGAAGAAGAGGTCAGTACGAGGACGCCCCAGGATTAGGTGGGGCGCCTTAACTAAGGATAAAGCTAAAGATTTGGAAGGAAGGTTATCGGCAATGGGAGCTTGGAGAAGTAGTGGGGACGCAAGCACAATGTGGTCGATGACGGCGGACTGTATAAGAAAGGCGGCGAGAGAGGTGTTAGGGATATCTACGGGCCACTATGGTGGACACAAAGGAGATTGGTGGTGGAATGCAGTTGTCCAAGGTAAGGTGGAAGCAAAGAAGGTGTCTTACCTAAGGTTAGTAGGGAGCACTGATGAGGAGGAGAAGAGAGAGAACAGTCAAAGGTATAAGGTAGCTAGGAAGGAGGCGGAGATGGCAATGACGGAGGCTAAGGCGACAGCTTTTGCTCGTCTGTATGAGGAACTAAGGAACAAAGGTGGGGAGAAGAAGTTATTCCGACTCGCTAAGGCGAGAGAGAGGACAACTCGGGATCTGGACCAAGTGAGGTGCATAAAAGATGATGACGGCAAAGTTTTGATGGGAGATGACCAGATTAAGAGGAGGTGGCAGGCCTACTTTCATAAACTTCTAAGTGAAGAAGGGGATCAGGATACTATACTTGGGGAATCGAGGAATGANTTGTTATTTTTATTACGCATTTTTATGGTACTAATATATCATCTCCTGTTGCTTTTTTGAGCCGAGGGTCTCCTGGAAACAGCCTCTCTACCCTTCAGGGTAGGGGTAAGGTCTGCGTACATATTACCCTCCCCAGACCCCACTTGTGGGATTATACTGGGTCGTTGTTGTTGTTGTTGTTGTAGACGCTTAATGTAAGAATTAATAGTGCATAGACAATTTTGACCAAAAAAAATAATGCATAGACAATAAAAAGTAGAAATTAGTAATGCAGAAATTATAATAAGGGGTCATTTGGTTTGAATACGGGATAAGTTATATTGAAATAAGTTATGCTTGTATAGGTCAAAATCCGACCAAGAAAATTCGGCACGAAGAGGTGCTTATCGTAAGAATTGTAACTTATTATGGACAATTTGGCCGAGGTCGATCAGTGGTTAACAAAAACAAGTCGTTGAATGGCTCATCAAGGCCGAGGTCGAGCAGCAGGGACAGAAATTAGCTTTGGAACTTTCAAAGGGAATATCCCGTTAAATATTCTTTTTGTTGTACCTTTTAGGGTCCTTTGGGAATATTCCATATAAATAGTAAGAGAGATAAGACAAAAGGCATGTGATTTTCCATTAGATAAGAATACTTTTGAAAAGTAAGCTCTCTAGATAAGTACAAAGAACAACTTTCTGAGAGAGATTCGATCTTTATATTCTATCCATTGAATTTTCCATCAGATCCGAGAAAGTATATAATATTCTCTCATATAATTGTCATTCATCACTGTCAGAAGAAAGAATCATTCACCTCTTTCATTATTGAGGGAATCTTCTTCCTCGTTTACATTTAGTGTCATTTATTGTTATTTATTGCTTATTCTCATCTCATTAAATAACAACAACATTTATTACACATTGCATTAAATCCTCTATAACTTGGTCCCATATTATCCACATAAAACTGATTTTAGATCTAGGGTTATTATCTTTAACTAGGATTAATCCCTTATTCTTTTACTTAATTAGTTTAACAAAGAGTTTTATACTTTTTGGTCATATAATTTGGCGCCGTCTGTGGGGATATTCTAGTTAAAATTTTAGTTTCTTCTAGATCTAAAAAAAAGACGCAAAAACCCTATACTTCCTTATGTGCACGATGTCACACCTCCTTTTTCACCTACACCCTAGGAAGGGCGTAAAGGAGTTTTTCCATTTAAAGGACAATCGGAATGGGATTTAATTATTAATTATTCAGAGTCGCCACTTGAGAGATTAATGGTGTCCCAAGTCACCGGTTGAATTCCAAACCGAGGAAATTTATGACTCTGTTAACAGTCCGCGAACCAGAAATCCGAGTAAGGAATTCTGTTAACCCGGGAGAAGGTGTTAGGCATTCCCGGGCTCCGTGATTTTAGCACGGTCGCTTAACTGGTGTATTTGATTTTATCTGATTTTAATATATGCTAGCTTATGTGCCTTTTGTTAATTTTACACCGCTTTTTATCATTATTTATTTTATAAGAATTACGATGTCGTGAAAACGCGTTTTGAACCCCGTCGCAATCAATGCGCCCGTGGTTGTTGACACATTTCAAATTCATCGAGATTTGGATTTGGGTCGCATCAATGCGCACCCGAATTTAAGAAAGTAATTTAATTAAATCGTGCCTAAA